TTATTAGCGTTCCAAAGTCGTGGGGTCTAATCCCAGATTAGGCCATTTTATTAGATTAATTTTATACAGGGTGTTAAAAAAAAAGTGTCACAAAATAAAACGGGTGGTAGTATGGGCCAAAATATGCAGAAAAGTCTTAATAAACATATGTCCGCAAATGAATGGTTTCAGAGATACAGAGTGTTTTGTATCATTTTTTGATTATCTTTTTTCATTCTCAAAAACTTGCTTTTCTTATCGGAGTCTACCGATGTTTTTTCATAGATACTATTTGCAGTTATTATTCTGTTGTGGGTGAATAATTTTATAAATTTTCGTTATGCCTGTTTACACTAATATTGAATTAGCTGACATGCATTTTATGTACGGTCGTGCAAATGGCAATGCGAGGGAAGCGCTACGTCAGTATATCGACGCTTTCCCTAATCGCCACATCCCTTCATTTAACTCTATGTTGTTATTGATTGTTTATAAATATCATTGTTTTTTATAATATTAAAAAATTGTTATAAACACAAAATGGTCCGTATCTCCGAAACCGTTAATTTGCGGTCATATATTTTCTGCTTATTTTGGGTCATACTATTCACCATTTCATTTTGTGACACTTTTTTTTAACACCCTGTATATAAGTAAAATTCATAAATATTAATCTTTGTGTTATTTTTAAAGTAGTTATTTTATTTTAAGACGTTTATAATAATTACTAACATTTTCTAGATTTTATTTAGTGTGTCGTAGAATAAATATAATGTACAACTTGAGTTGATTGTCCGTATCGCACTCTGCTTACGTCATCGTGCCTAAACTTCGACTGTACAATAAAGCCATAATATTCATTGTTGTTACACAAACTACTCTTTTCTAAACACTTGTATTGTGAATAAATATTTTTTGATAAAATTCCTGGTACAACACGTCAGTTAAAATTCGGTGAAAACTCAGTTCCGTGGGTTTTTTCCTCTGGGAACGGCTTTGCATTTAACTATATATAAACAAGTCTCCAGAGTCTGCGACACGTTATGAATTATATTTTAATTTGCCTAAAAGCAATGTCTCATTTCTAAGCTCAGCTTGTCGGGTCGTTTTGTTTTTTCATTATTTTCCATGTTTCACTTACTAAATTTCGTTGTTTCGAAAAGCAATATGGAAGTTGACGTGACGCTTTTTATTTATAGGGTGTAGATTCGGGAGCAATACACTCGCTTATTGTGGTATTTAAATGATTATATATGTCATTCTTTGTCATAACACCTTAGAATAACAAACATTGCTCGTTTATTCACTGTTTGGTATTAATTAATCAAAATTACATATATTAAAGAATACCCAACTAACAAAGTAGCTTTATAATGTTTAGTTTATAAGACTATTATATTTTATTGATATTATATTGCTGTGTCTGGAATGCTAATTTATTGTATTACAGTTGCAGAAATCACTATTTTGTTCTCTGAAAGTAAATTGTTATATAAATTAGTTTTTACAATATTCTTACAGCAAAATTATAAAATAGTTTTCACGATAACTATAAAATTGTTACGTAAACAGTTATACAACTGTTCTATACAATATTTCAGCTTATAAAATAAAATTGCTTTATAGTTATTCTATATTATTGTTCTGGATTACCTTTAGAACTTTTTGGTTATACAAATATAACTGTTTCTTAACCTCATAATAACGCTTTAAAAAATAGTTATATAAATATTAATGTGAGATAATTCCGCATCAATAGCAATTTGCTTCTGATGAAAACTCTAAAATAACTGTAATATATTGTCGAAATACACTATTACAAATCAGAAAACTGTATAGCAATTATTTTAGTTAAGAATAGTATTATCACTTTAAAAATATTTATAAAAAAAAATAAAGCAGCTACATTTGGTAGTACCTACGCCAGATTATTTTGTATTTTATGTTCGTTCAACTACTTCCCATACCAATTGTATATGAGTGTATGGTCTGAAAATGTCAGATATAAATAGTAAAGTAAATAAAAAATAAGTGGTACCTGCTTTTCAGAGAACAGTAAAAAATATTAGTAAAACATTTTGCTGGTTTGTCTAGACACTCAAAAAAAAAACTATCATTCAGCCAGATAATAATTAGGTATGTTCTGAATAATCATGCCCCAATACTAAAAGAAAGCCATATTTTTGGCGATGTCCATGTTAAACTTGCTTATTCTCGTAATATTAAAAATTATGCTTGCTCTATAAAGCTGTAGAAACAAATCTAATCATTTCAATTCTCAAATACTTAAATCGGAAATGATTTAGTAAGGTTATGTTATATTTTGTCATATAGTGCAGCAATATGAAACTATTATACAACAAACCATGATGAACTTGTTTTGTAGAAATGAGTAATACAACTTAATTATTGTATTACAGCTGTTTTTACTACAATAATATTTTATAATTATGATTCAGTCTTAAAATAACTTTCTAATACCTCTGAATAGCCGCCATATTTAACAAAAACCTAAGACAGTTTTAAAGCTAAATCTACTGTCGGTTTTACTAGTATTTAAGACAAAACCAATGTTAATTAAAGATTTTAATCATTAGTAATATTAGCATAATCTTATTACTAAAAAAAAATCCAATTGCATTAATTTAATTTTTGTTTCACACTGAAAAAGTATTAGAAATATGAATCAAACTCGAGGCGCTTAAAAATTTAGTATTGTATTTGCTATATAATTAACAGTAATTCTTGCTGCGTATCCAAAAACGCTTTATTGTAGGTCATACATTATGTCTAAACCGCGTCATAGATATCTCTTAAGTAGATACTGCCATTTTACTAATATCGCCTTGAATTTACTTTCATGACAAATATAGAATTAATTTGTTTTTACCAGATACATTTAAAAAACTAAAATGTTACTGATTTTGATATGCAACCTAACCTCAAAATTGAAAATTTATAAAACAGTTATAAAAGTTTAAAAAAACATTTGTTTAAAGTCTGTGTAAATGTGTAGTAACTGTTCGGTAACTGCATTCAACAAATCTTATAGAATTTACAAAAGAACCAAATAGTTCTGTAATACTGCGCCCATTTTGTGTTTATTACTGTTGAAAGAATGTTCCGGAAATGTTCTTAGCTAATATTCTATTTTATAAATTTGGTTCTGTAAACATTTTTTCAGCTTTTATAAAATATCAAATTGTTACTTGGGTAATAGACTAGTGTATACGTTGGACAAGTTTAAATATTTTATTTTAGTGCAATTTAAAATTTTTAATAGTTTTGTGGAAAATAAATTTATGTAAAATATTTTTATATCCTTGAACATCCTCAAGAAATTATCATATATGCCCAAAAAATTCTTATACATTCTTATTCATCCTCGAAAATCTTCATACACCCACGTAAATCCTCAAACATCTTTGTACATCCTCATAGATACATCCTTATACGTCCTCATACATCCTCATACATCCTCATACATCCTCATACATCCTCATACATCCTCATACATCCTCATACATCCTCATACATCCTCATACATCCTCATACATCCTCATACATCCTCATACATCCTCATACATCCTCATACATCCTCATACATCCTCATACATTCTAATACATCCTCATATATCCTCATACATCCTCATACATCCTCATACATCCTCATACATCTTCATACATCCTCATACATCCTCATACATCCTTATACATCCTCATACATCCTCATACATCCTCATACATCCTCATACATCCTCATACATCCTCACACATCCTCATACATACTCATACATCCTCATACATCCTCATACATCTCAATACATCCTCATACATCCTCATTCATCCTCATACATCCTCATACATCCTCATACATCCTCATACATCCTCATACATCCTCATACATCCTCATACATCCTCATACATCCTCATACATCCTCATACATCCTCATACATCCTCATACATCCTCATACATCCTCATACATCCTCATACATCCTCATACATCCTCATACATCCTCATACATCCTCATACATCCTCATACATCCTCATACATCCTCATACATCCTCATACATCCTCATACATCCTCATACAGCCTCATACATCCTCATGCATCCTCATACATCCTCATACATCCTCATACATCCTCATACATTCTCATACCTCCTCATACATCGTCATACATCGTCATACATCCTCATACATCCTCATACATCCTCATACATCCTCATACATCCTCATACATCCTCATACATCCTCATACATCCTCATACATCCTCATACATCCTCATACATCCTCATACATCCTCATACATCCTCATACATCCTCATACATCCTCATACATCCTCATACATCCTCATACATCCTCATACATCCTCATACATCCTCATACATCCTCATACATCCTCATACATCCTCATACATCCTCATACATCCTCATACATCCTCATACATCCTCATACATCCTCATACATCCTCATACATCCTCATACATCCTCATACATCCTCATACATCCTCATACATCCTCATACATCCTCATACATCCTCATACATCCTCATACATCCTCATACATCCTCATACATCCTCATACATTCTCATACATCCTCATGCATCCTTATACATCCTTATACATGCTCATACATCCTCATACATTCCATACATCCTCATATATCCACGTAAGTCTTCCTTATTATATAACTACGTCCTCAGTGATTTACCCCTCAAGATTTCTTGAAAAACCTCTGGTCCTTGAAGAAAGATTTCTTGAGTTATTGCGTAAAGTACTTTTTTCAGTGGTAACGCAATTAAATTAAACAGATTTGATCGCAAATAAAAGAAGAAAAATTAATATTTTTTATTTTAATTATTTGCTGCCCTTGGTACATCCACTGAGGACATTGTACGTGTATATCCGTCTCACTATTAATACATCTGATTTTTGATATTATTGAAATGTTCTATAATAAAGCACTGCGCAACATGGTAAACGAATCAAAATCTGGACAAATGTACTTACCGAAACAATTAAAATAGGTAGAGTGTACTGGAAAATCAACGAAAAAATTGAGTAATAAGCTCTTCCGTGATCCACCGGCCAATTTTCTATGCAGAAGTTGATGTCTAAATTGTCTACGCCCAGCTCGACGGTATGATGAATGAGATGTCTGACAATAAAAAGTGGTAGAGCCAACATTATCGCTACCATCCATATTAGAAGCAGAATCAGGGCTGCTCCGCAAAGTTGAAGACTTTCTCTGGTGGGATAGACGATTACCTGAAAAAAAAAAAAAAAAAAAATATAAACAAATTTAAATTTTATTTTTTTTATTTAATTCTTATAAAAGATTATAAAGTAGTTTTTATAGCTAAAATACAGTAAAATGTGGTCAGTTTTTTTATTAAGTATGTTTGAATAAAATAAACATGAATTTTTTTTTATAGTAAAACATCAGTTTCAAACATGTAATTCAAAATTAATATTATTTTTTTTTAGTTTTCCCAATGTGTTTGAAAACTCACCTGATATCTATCCAGAGCGATGGCAGTGATTGATATTGTTGACACATATGTGCTGGTGGCTTGCAATATCCCAATGAGTTTACAAATAAACAAACTATTTCCAAGAGGAAAATATTTTGTTAGGATTTCCATGAGCGTCAGCGGCATGGTGATGGTGCACAACAGGAGATCGGCTACTGCCAAATTGACTATAAACATATTTCTGGGCGTTCTCATGGCTGGCTTTCTAATAACGGAGACAATCTGTAAAATAACAATACATCCAGGATAAGTATTTTAAATATATCTTCAGTAGTATAAAAAAATTTCAGTATATTAGGGTTTTACCCTCTTAATTTTGAACTCTGTGTAAATACTCAAAAATTGTTATGATTTTCTAAAACATCTGTTGTGAAACCTCACAACATTTGGCTACAATTTTCTTTATTTTAACTCTTTGTACAATATTACGTTAAATATGAGTCACCTTTAGTCATAATAATTTAATTGTTAATTTTTGGCACTACCACCCTGTAAAATCCTTAGTTGCATGGGGCAACTAAGAAATGTCGAAGTAACAAGTCAAAATTAATTTTCTGACATTAGATTTTCGCTTTTAAAAAATTCTGGCTCTTCTTGGCTAGTTATGTGCCGTATTGAGTGCCTCAAGGCATTTTAGTAACCACGTTGGAGCGCTTGGTGGTTCTAGAGTTGAACCTGTCTGAGGTTGGACATTTGGTCTATGGTGCTTCGCTTCACTGATATGGTGTACTGTGTCGCTGCGTGTGGGTCATTTGCAGAGCTGCCGTAACTGGGTTAAACGGTGGATCAGGTGCATGATCTACAAAACACGTATCGTATTGTTTTGACTATTTTTATTCCAATAGCTACAATTGAGTGCAGGTATTAACAACTTAATTGACTGGTTCTAGTTTTTACCACTTTAATAATAGGTTGTTCATTACACAAGGTTGTTTGTATTTTAACATAATTTTTGTTCTTTTGTACTTGTGATCTTTACTAATTTTAATATATTGAAAGTTAATTTTTAATTGAGTTTTACTGATCCTCAAAGCAACAGGTAACTAGGGAATCCGTAAATACTGCGCCTTTTGGGAAAAACAGACTTTTCAAGTCGTTAGTGTGTATATTATTGGTTGGCTTATCATCAAACCCTAAGTGGTTGATGACCACTGATGTTCTACCAATAGGGTCTGGAACAACATCAGTAGTTTATAGCACCTCTCTTAAGCTAGCATGACCAACTGGGCAGAATCGATTAAAATCTATTACATTATTTAGTACCTATTTTGTACTAATTTGTACCACCAATAAAAATTTTGTACCATGTGCCGTTTTCAAAAAAAACGTGGCGCTGCTAGGTTAATATTAAGCTAGCAGGACCACATTAAAAAAATAAAATAAAAAATAAAACAAAGGTAGAATTAAAACGAACTGAATTTGTACCAATTTGTACCACTAATCAATTTTTTGTACTATGTACGGTTTATAAAAGAACACATGGTGCTTCTAGTTTAATATTAAGCTAGCAGGACCACATTAAAAAAATAAAATAAAAAATGAAACAAAAGTAGAATTAAAAAGAACTAAATTTGTACCAATTTGTACCACCAATAAATTTTTCGTACTATGTACCGTTTACAAAAAAACACAAGGTGCTTCTAGTTCAATATTAGGCTAGCAGGACCACATTGAAAAATACAGAGGTACAATTAAAAAGGACTGATTTTGTAACAATATGTACCATTAAAAAAAACCTAAGTTATTTAATCAAACTGCCTGAAACAACTTTCAAATTAATCCAAATCTGTTATAATTAAAATAAAAAGACTTTTGCAGAAAAAGAATCTATTGCTATTTCTGCATAAAACACAACATAATTTGTACCGTTAAAATATAAATTTTTAGAATATGCACCCTGCCGTTCTTTAGAAACTATCCTAAAGTCATATTCCTTTTAAACAGCAAAATCAATCGTTACTTCTGCAATAAAAGTACGTTAAAATGTAAATTGTTAGATTCTGTACCCTTGCCGTTCCTATAGAAATTAACCTAAATTCATATTAGGCTCAAGAGTAAAGTACCCTTTTGCACGAGCAGAATCAATAGTTACTCCTGCAATAAAAGTAACATAATTTGTACCAGTAAAATATAAAATTTCAGATTTTGTACCCCTGCCGTTCCTATAGAAATTAACCTAAATTCATATTAGGCTCAAGAGTAAAGTACCCTTTTGCACGAGCAGAATCAATAGTTACTTTTGCAATAAAAGTAACATAATTTGTACCACTAAAATATGAAATTTCAGATTTTGTACCCCTGCCGTTCCTATAGAAATTAACCTAAATTCATATTAGGCTCAAGAGTAAAGTACCCTTTTGCACGAGCAGAATCAGTAGTTACTTCTGCAATGAAACTAATATAATTTGTACCACTAAAATATAAAATTTCAGATTTTGTGCCCCTGCCGTTCCTATAGAAATTAACCTAAATTCATATTATGCTCAAGAGTAAAGTACCCTTTTGCACGAGCAGAATCAGTAGTCACTCCTGCAATGAAAGTAACCTAATTTGTACCACTAAAATCTGGAGTAACTATTGATTCTGCTCGTGCAAAAGGGTACTTTACTCTTAAGCCTAATATGAATTTAGGTTAATTTCTATAGGAACAACAGGGGTACAAAATCTGAAATTTCATATTTTAGTGGTACAAATTATGTTGAATTCATTGCAAAAGTAACTATTGATTCTGCTCGTGCAAATGGGTACTTTACTCTTAAGCCTAATATGAATTTAGGTTAATTTCTATAGGAACGGCAGGGGTACAAAATCTGAAATTTTATATTTTAGTGGTACAAATTATGTTACTTTCATTGCAAAAGTAACTATTGATTCTGCTCGTGCAAAAGGGTACTTTAATCTTGAGCCTAATATGAATTTAGGTTAATTTCTATAGGAACGGCAGGGGTACAAAATCTGAAATTTCATATTTTAGTGGTACAAATTATGTTAATTTTATTGCAGAAGTAACTACTGATTCTGCTCGTGCAAAAGGGTACTTTACTCCTGAGCCTAATATGAATTTAGGTTAATTTCTAAAGGAGCGGCAGGGGTACAAAATCTGAAATTTCATATTTTAGTGGTACAAATTATGTTGAATTCATTGCAAAAGTAACTATTGATTCTGCTCGTGCAAATGGGTACTGTACTCTTAAGCCTGATAAGAATTTAGGTTAATTTCTATAGGAACGGCAAGGGTACAGAATCTAACAATTTACATTTTAACGTACTTTTATTGCAGAAGTAACGATTGATTTTGCTGTTTAAAAGGAATATGAATTTAGGATAGTTTCTAAGGAACGGCAGGGTGCATATACTGAAAATTTATATTTTAACGGTACAAATTATGTTGTGTTTTATGCAAAAATAGCAATAGATTCTTTTTCTGCAAAAGTCTCTTTATTTTTAATTATAACAGATTTTGATTAATTTGAAAGTTGTTTCAGGCAGTTTGATTAAATAAATTAGGTGTTTTTAATGGTACATAATGTTATATAATCAATCCTTTTTAATTGTACCTTTGTATTTTTCAATGTGGTCCTGCTAGTCTAATATTGAACTAGAAGCAATTTGTTTTTTTTGTAAACGGTACATAGTACGAAAAATTTATTGGTGGTACAAATTGGTACAAATTTAGTTCTTTTTAATTCTACTTTTGTTTTATTTTTTATTTTATTTTTTTAATGTGGTCCTGCTAGCTTAATATTAAACTAGAAGCACCATGTGTTTTTTTATAAACCGTACATAGTACAAAAATTGATTGGTGGTACAAATTGGTACAAATTGAGTTCGTTTTAATTCTACCTTTGTTTTATTTTTTATTTTATTTTTTTAATGTGGTCCTGCTAGATTAATATTAACCTAGCAGCGCCACGTTTTTTTTGAAAACGGCACATGGTACAAAATTTGTATTGGTGGTACAAATTAGTACAAAATAGGTACTAAATAATGTAATAGATTTTAATCGATTCTGCCCAGTTGGTCCTGCTAGCTTAAGAGAGGTGTTTATAGCATTGATATGATATCTATAAGTAATAAATACGAAAACTTGTATTGTGCACGCGTAGGAGACCGGATGAAATTGTACCATTTTGACTTCCAAGTTTCTTCACTAGTGCTATATATAATTTAGGTCAGCAAAATTTTAATAGAATGTCGGTCAATGCCCTTTTATGGTAATTTTTATTTAGGATTAAGTAAAAAAATAATATTAACCGTTTAAAAATATAATGCAAAATAGTAGAATTGCCTACATCATCGGGTCAGTTGTACCACTGCCAGGGTAAATTATACCATGAGGTTAAAATAAACAATAATATAAATTATATTTTTGATAAAAATATTTAATAATCATTAAAATATGAGCATCAAATTAATCAGATTTACAATTATGGCAAATGTATTCTGTATTTGTTGGTGCACAATGTATGAACCCATAATTTGCAAGAGGTATATGCACCGTAACCATTCTTCACCTGATTGACTGGAAGTAAATGGCTCTACACAAACTAAACAGAAACATTCTTCTTCGTTACTGTTTTCCTCGATAACTTTAATAATTTTCCTTATTTTAGGAAAAATACTTAAATTATTTTTGATAGATTTGGCTCTTTTTTTCTTCTCTCTGGCTTCGGTTTCTTCTGTGATGTTGTCTTTTTCCGGGGTGTCTGTATATATATAGTAGATTTTGCCTTTTTTCGACCTTTATTATTCTTTAATAGGTGGCGCTTTTGGAAAAGGTCTCTTCATATCTGAAGAGAACTGGGTATGGGAATTAATATTGATAGCCGATAGCTTTTAATTTTTGCTAGTAATTAGATGTGATAGTTTAGGAACAATATTTTATCTAATAGAAGAGTAAGATTTGTGTTTTTGAAAGTTAATGGTTGAAGAAGTGAAGTTTAGTGGAGTGTAGTTGAAGAGAATAATTGAGGAGCTGAAGTGGATAGTTGAGGGGATGTGTGTTTACTACTGAAAGGTTGAGGGGATGTAAGTTCGGATGGAAAAATATTGAACTCTTGATTTATAGTCTGCATATTGATATTTACAATTTCTTAATCATTTTCGACTGCAGTTTCATTAAGTTCTTCATTCGGATTTGGTCTCTCAGTAACAAATGATGGTAAAAAATTTAATTTAATAAATATATCCCTATTGAACGGATATATTCCAGCTTGTATATT